CAAGTGTCCTCGCTGCCCACAGTGGCCCAGGGCCAGGTGCCCCAGAGAGAGTGAACAGAACTGGGAATGATCAAGCGACCTCTCTCCTGCCGTCCATCTCCACCCTCTGACCGATGCTGGGGACACCGTTCCTTACGCACGCTAGCTAATAGCCATTAATGAACCTAACCTCCGTGAATGTATCTAGTTCTCTTTTAAACCCTGTTACAATCCTAGCCTTCACTACCGCCTCCGGCAAGGAGTTCCACAGGTTGACTATGCGCTGTGACGAGAACTTCCTTTTCTTTCTTTTAAACCTGCTGCCCATTCATTTCACTTGGTGGCCCCTAGTTCTTATGTTATGGGAACAAGTTAATAACTTTTCTTTATTCATTTTATCCATACCACTCATAATTTTATAGACCTCTGTCCTATCCCTTCCTTCCTCTCCTATTTTTTAAGCTGAAAGGTCCCAGTCTCTTTAATCTTTCCTCATATGGGACCCGTTCAAAATCCCTCATCATTTTAGTTGCCTTTTTCTGAACCTTTTCCAAGGCCAAAATATCTTTTCTGAGATAAGGAGACCACATCTGTACACAGTATTCCAGATGTGGACGTACCATGGATTTATATAAGGGCAATAGGATATTCTCCCTCTTAATTTCTATCCCATTTTTAATGATTCCTAACATCCTGTTTGTTTTTTTGCCTGCTGCTGCGCACTGCGTGGACATCTTCAGAGAACTGTCCACCGTGACTCCAAGATCTCTTTCCTGATTAGTTGTGGCTAAATTAGTCCCCATCCTTTGTATGTCTAGTTGGGGATATTTTTTCCCATGTGCCATTTACAGTCCATGAGGGGAGGGGTGATTCTTCTCCACCCTGCATCCAAATGCAGAGAGACGGGTGGGTCGCCCCGAGTGGGAGACAGAGTCCCATAGGGGCTGTACGGGGTGGGGGGTAGGTGAGAGGGAACTTACCATGGTTCTCCTTGAGTTTGCCTGCAAACCAAACAGAGAAAGGAGCCCCGTTATCCTGCAGAAAGGAAGTGAGTCCCAAAGACCCTCCCGCAGGGACGTCCCAGTCCTGAGATTGATAATGCAGCCCCGTCCAGGCTCAGCCAGGCCCCAGCTCCTCCCGGGCAGCGCAGGACTGGGCAGGGGATGAAAATCAGGACCCATCCAGTCACCTGGCCAGGGCTTAGGGGGTCCCTCCGCAACCGGACAGTGTTAACCCCGTGAAGCCAGGCGAAAAGAGCACAAAGTGCGTGGGGTGAGGTGCGGGATGGGAATTCACAGGCTAAAATGGAAGCCGAAGGGGGAATCGCCAGGGTTAAAAATCAACCCCAG